CACGAAAAGCATTGAGTTGAAGGACGGAAGGTCCAGCTGAGGCATCGAATCCAGCACACGCCTCGCCTGCTCCAAATCTCCAGCTTGAGCATATGCAGCGAGCAACGAGCTCCATGAGAGCACATTCACTTGCGGCATTCGATCAAAAGTGGCTTTGGTCTCGGCGACGTGATGCCGGCTGTAGGCGGCGAGCATGGCGTTCCACGCGATTAGATCTCTCTCAGGCAAGCGATCGAAGAGGAGCTTGGCGTCCTCCAAGCGATCGCTCTGAGCATACGCATGCAAGAGTGTAGTCCACGAGACTAGATCTAGTTGCGGCATGGAGTGTAGAATGATCCTAGCTTCGTCAACCCTCTCACACTGTACGTAGGCCATTAGGAGCGCATTCCAAGCAACTAGATTTGTTTGAGGCATTGTGTCGAACAAGGCTTTAGCGCTTTCCAAATGCCCGTGCTGGGCATAAGCGGCAAGCATTGCAGTGCAGGATATGAGGTCGTGCTCTGGCATTTCTTCGCTAAAGACTGCCCATGCATGCACGAGACCTTTGCTCTCAATAATGGTTCCCAGCATTGTCGTCCATGACACGATGTTCCACATCGGCATTGCCTCAAACAAGTCCTTGGCTCTTACAACATGCCCTTCACGGGCATATGCAGACAAGAGCACGGACCAGGAAACAAGATCCTTTTGTGGGAGCAAGTCGAAAGCCCTCTTTGCTTCGTCTCGAGATCCATTCTGTGTGTAAGCAGCCAAGATTGTGTTCCATGAAACAAGACTATGCTGGGGCATAGAATCAAACACTTCTTCAGCCTCCACAAGATGGCCTGCTTCGGCAACTGCACGAAGAAGAATGTTCCATGAAACGACGCTGGGCTGTGGCATCGCGCGGAAGAATTCTCGGGCCTGGTCGAGCTGCCGGTTGCTGGTGTAGGCTAAGAGCATCATGTCCCAGGAGAAGGAATCATTTTTTACTTGGTTCTTGTCGAAGATCTGGCGTGCCAGGGCGGGGCTTCCACACCTGGCGTACATTTCAATCAGCTTGTTTGCGAGGAAGGAGTCGGAGCTTGCGGAGAGAAAGGAATGGGCTGCCAAGTGAATCTCTTTTGCATCATTGAGCGTTCTGCAAGATTGAATGGCTTCCACAAGCTGCCTCCTCTCCATTCATCATTAAAAATTTCTCTCGAGTTTGAGACGTTGGAGCAATAAAGTAAATCGACCCTATAGGGTTTTCCTGTTCAGATTTTCACTTGTAGCATCTCTTCTTATTTGTCTCTCTCCCCGGGACGTGATGGAGAACTTCCAGAGCTCCAAATGATCTATTGAAGATCATGAAAGCATTAGAGAGCCTTTGAAAGTTCTCCATTGCCTCTTGGGAGGGGAGACATGGACATGGACATGGCGGGTCTTCTTTGCATGCTTCATGAAATCCTTTCTCTCTCTGTTTGTTCACCCGTGTTCTTGCTCACAATAAATTCGGACAGCCCCTCTAGTTTTCTATCTGAGAATCAAAGAAAATGCATTCTACTTTTTTTCTTCTTTTAATCTAAAAGGATTCACTTCACAAAATCTTAGTACTTACTTGGAAGAATGAATGAATCAAAGGCTAAAAACGCTACAGCAACTAAGACCCTGCTTCAGTACTTGTGATTGACGAACCGGCACTCCTTCCTGATCTGGCCCTCCGATCCCAGCAGCGGCTTGATGGCAGCCATCCTCACCATGGACGCTACAAACTCCTGGAAGAACTTTGCCTGGTCGTAGGCAAATGCCGTAACCAGTGCGCTGGTGGGAGCATACGGCGCAAACAGCACCTGGTCCGACGTAAGAACACCCTTGTGAAGCTCCAGATCGACGAAGAAGTGATTGTCAAACTTGGTGGGAGTGACGATGTCCAGAGGCGTCGTCTCCTGCGCGTTGCCTTTGGGAGGACAAATGTGCTCGAGGCTGCGGAGGAGCGCCGGGTCGATGCTCGGATCTGGCCGACGAGTTCCCGCAAAGTTGTAGAGGCGCTGCCGGAAGCTGGCGCAGCGTGACACGCCAATGGTGTGAGAGCCCGTCAGTGCCACCAAGTCCACGATGGACAGGCCCTTCTTGGCAAATGCGGCGATGAGCTGCGGAAGCGTCGAGTTGGGAGGCGGGATGTCTCTGTTGGCCAGGCTGCGGCTCGCAGTCAGGCTGTCTCGACGACCAAGATGAACTTCCCACGACGGGCCTCCAGTCTGATTCATGCCACACAGAAAAGAAGTGAGATCAAAGATTAGTATCGAAGTACGTACCAGGACGACCGAGTCCCGTGCAGCAATGGCGAGAACGTCGGCACAAGAAACAACACCCTCGCATTCCTTCTCCAGAGCTGCCTTGATCTCGTCAATGACTTCGAAGCCACGAGCCGAGTTCCTGTTGGGATTGGCGGTCTTTTCTCCTTTGAAAGTATGCGTATCGTCCAGAAGTATGGAAGCATCACATCCCTGCAAGAAATTCACATCTTATTCTCATAAAAAACAAAGAAAAACAAAGAAAAAAGAATGCAACAACTTACCAGAACGAAACAATCGTGAAACTGAAGCCTGAGAATGTTTGCAGCAGTTCTGGAATCCTTTTCCACGGCCTGCTGCAAGACTTCCTTCACGATAGACTCGGCAGCGGGGCACTTCTCCTTGTAGAAGCCAGGCCGCAACACAGCAATTCCCATCTCCGCAGAAGTAGCACCACCGGGAAATGGAAATGGTCGTCCTCCTGGGAATGGAAAACCCCGTCCTGCTGGGAATGGAAAGCCTCCCACGCCAGGCCTCGGTATCATGCCACCGGGAAGTAAACCCGGGATGGCTGGAAACTTTGGAACTTGCTCCTTCGGAACTACTGGATACTCCGGAACCTTTGGCACTTCGGGGACCGGCTGCTTGGGAAGAATCTCGGGAACTACTGGATACTCCGGAACCTTTGGAACTTCGGGGACCGGCTGCTTGGGAGGAATCTCGGGAACTACTGGATATTCCGGAACCTTTGGAACTTCCGGGACCGGCTGCTTGGAAGGAATCTCCGGAACTACTGGATACTCCGGAACCTTTGGAACGGGAACTTCTGGAACTTTGGGACCTTCTGGCACTTTGGGTGGAATTTCTGGAACTGTGGGTATTTCTGGAGGAACCTCCGGTACCTTGGGAATGATTGGAACTGCTGGAACTTTGGGAACCTCCGGAACCTTTGGAACTTCTGGAATGACTGGAACCTCTGGAACCTTTGGAACTTCTGGAACGACTGGAACTTCCTTCGGCGGGACCTTTGGAACGATCGGAATCTCTGGAATCCTTGGAATCTGTGGAATGCTGGGGATCTCCGGGATCTTGGGAATCGGAATGGTGATCTCTGGGATCAAAGGAGGAAACTCCTGCGCACCGCCAGCTCCCGGAAAGAATCCAGCGCCAAGCTGTGGCGGAATAAATCCTGGGAACCCCGCAAATCCTCCTTGCTCGGCCTCTCCATCCACTGCCCAAGCAAGAACAAGGAAAAGAATGTGTAGCGGCACGAGAAGACGATCCATGGCCATGCCTGGAGAAGAAATCTCGCAGCAATCCTCTGGCGCTTATATAGCAGCTCCATTCTTCCTGCTTGGATCGTGGCTGACTTCACACTTCACCTAGAAATCTTGACTGGCCACTGGCATGCGAGAAGAAATCGAAGAAGAACAAGAATCCACCGCGTCGCGCCTTCCCTACTAGCGAACAGCTAACCCTAACCTAATCGCGCCCACAGATGATGTTCGTGCTTTGTATTTTGACAGTGATCAGCTCACAACCTAAAACTCCAAATTACATCTACGACTTCGAAATATTGCATGCTACACCAGGTAACAAATTGATGGAATCATTCGAGTCTTGCATTTACCAAGTTCCAAGCTTTCCTGTGAAAAACGAATTCATACACGATAGTGGAAACTGACGAAGAATCCCATTCATAAACATTGTAAATTTGTATGTGATGAAATGCATAGTACTCACTAGACGTCTGCTGCCATTCACTGGAGAAATCCATAGCGAGCAACCAGATGTAAAAAAGAAAAAACCTAGAGAGTGATACACATACCGTATGGTAACAAGAAGCGCAGGGGATCGCAGATGGTGCAATCCTCCAGATTAACTACCTTGCTTAAGTCATACCTATATCGTACCATTCCATGTTTAGGAGCTCCTTTAACATGGGTTCGTGGGCGTGTTTTTATAAAGATTTTGCTTCGGTCTTTGACTGGTCCAACTATAGATTTACACGCCTCTTTGAAAACGAAGTATTTGGATGAAGCACTGATCTTTCCCCGCCTTGTCACTCTTCCTTTGCCGTGCAAGTTTCAACATGGCAAAAAAAATGAGATTTAACGGGAGGCCTCTAGTTTTGAATACAGAAAAGGACTGTTGACAGTGTTTTGGAAGTCGTTCCTGTCGCATCCGGGAAATTAAAAGAAGCCGTTCCAATGGTCCTTCCTGGCGGTGGCGACTTGGAAGTCTTGCCATTACACATATCGGGGCTGCCTGAAGCCATTTATCGATAGTCGAATTGTTTGATGGCTTGGATCGTCGCCCTTCTCGTAGTGGGGATTCTTCACATTCACTTGGGAGCAGCGGAAGTATCAGTGCAACGGGGTGAACTGGCTGGAGTAAACAGCTCCAGAGCACTTCTAAGCATGAGCGGTGATACGTCTCAGAAATCCATCTGGTGGCAGTTCATTCCGCACCTCAAATCGCATCCAGAGGTCTTCTTGAGGTACTTGGTGTCGATTCCCATTCCAGAAGAGGAGCTGGGCAGTGTAGAACAGGTATGTGACAAGGACTATCTGAAAGAGATCCGTGATAGGGGAGGGCTCTTAGCAACCAGGAATGCATCCATAGCAGAGTATGAGTCCTCCGAGCACATCAAGGGTCTGGGAACCATGAAGATCACCATGTGGCTGCTGGCATTTGTCTGTCTGCAGGAAAACCAGCAGGCCGCATCTACAGCAGATGCCGCCTGTGAACCAATTGCACCAGTTGTTCTGCGGGTTACTCCTCAAGATTATGATCAGGAAATCAGAAACTGGACAAGGTACTCACCAACATACTTCAGCTTGTGGGAGGTAGTCAGTGACAACAGTAATGTCCAACAGGTCACAAACACGGTTCCCTCCAGGATACTGGAGTTTCCAACTGAGTACTATACAAACACACAGTCAGAGTCAGGGTTTCAAGCTAGAACTCTAGCAAGGGAAAGCTACAAAAACTTACCAAACTGTGGCAACTTAGGATTTGACATCTTTGCTGATCGAGGTGAGGTTGCGCTGACTGATAAAGGAGCCCGCTTACCATCTCCAAGCGTGAGAAAAGCTCCTGAAGCAGGTGTGTACAACTATGGTGGAGCCGCGAAATGTTATAGAATGGATGAAGAGTTCAAGAACGCCACAGGCAGTGAGCTTCTCACTGTCCTGGGACCGGCCTTTCTTCCGGGCAAAATTGTTGGAGGCTGCCAAAGCGAGTCATCCTTTCTGTTTTCCAACCAGTCGGGCTACTACGCTTGCTACAGTGAGGAGCTGAATGCTACTGGAACCACACTCAGCTCGTGGAGATTCCACTGCGTACACTTCGACTGTGGCGAGAAAGAAGTGAAAGCCAGTCTGGTGCCGTATTTCAAAGCCGTCTATGAAGCTCCCAGGAACGAGACCAATACACTGGTGCCTTTGCAAAGGCAGAGCTGCTCAGGACTTTCATCTATCTGGGTGCGAACGACGAACAGTCCGTCATCCAACTTTCCTCTCTATGATGCACCAGTATGTGAAAATAGAAGAGCAGCCAAGCCGGAAATGTGCTTGTGGGGCATAGATCCACCCCAGGATCTGCTGCAAACAAGTTCGGACATAGACATTCTTAGCTCGCTGCTCTCTCAAGTTAAGGCGTCGTACATTGCTGAGCATCTCTCGCTTTTGAACCTGGAGCAAGGTTCCCCGGCGGAGTTCTGGGTGGTGGCCATAACTCTCCCCAGTGCTTTCATCGCAGTTGTTGCGGGAGTGGTGCCATTGACAGATGCACAGTTGAAGCTGGTGCGAGGTGTGAGAGTCTCTTCACGCTTGAAAATAGGGTTTTTGTGCTGCTGCAACCTGGTCCTGGCCATTGTTTCCTACTCCGCTGTTGTGGCTTTGA